GATCATAAGAAATGGTTTTACCTCTCACCCACGAGATTCTATCCTTGGAATCAGGTCGTACAGGGAAGGCATTAGCATAGAACTCTCGAATGATGATTTCATTGTATTTGTCTTCTGGCTCGCCAATCTTGGTCCAATTCCTCCTTCTATATTCATTCGTGAAATCTATTAAAGGAAGCACTTCAATCACCGGACGCTCAGCTATAATTTGACGGCTTTCCAAATCCAAAAATCTCTGTTGCTTGTATTTGGTGCGAAATCGGCTTGGAAGGAAAGTGAAATTTCTTGGTGGCTGAGGTGAGGATGGTGCTTCTTCGTCCTTAGAGGGTGATACTGATGGGGTTGGGGAGGAAGTAGCCACTTTCTTTCTTTAAGAAAATGAAACAGAGAACTCATATATATATATATATATACCTTAAATTAAGTATCAAGAACAAATACATATAGAGAAGTTTTTCCTTTTGCTGATTAAAAACAACTACATAGAGAAGCATAGTAGATACATACATAGGGGGATCATTGTAGCAGGAACGTGAACATAAAGAATGCAAATCCTCTTTCCTCCGGAGTGTGGTATTGCCCATACCAGATTTGATTTGCTCTCCTTCAATTCTTTTGACACAACAACATAGATTGGCTGATCAACCACACTTGGATTAGGTTCCTCCAAATTTTCTCCCCCAACATCAACAGAAAAAGACCTCACAAAACCCATCCTTTGTGTAGTTGTAGGCACAGGACTCACCAGCCATTCTAAGCAAGATTATTGAATCACCCACAAAAAAACAAAGAATTCAACTCTCTCTCGACCAAAAAAAAAACTCGACTATCTCTCTCAACAATTGGTAATTATCTCTATAACGCCCACTACTTTCAACCTAGAAATTAATCATCAAAATCTCTCAAACCCACCAAAAATTCTCTCACTAGAACTCAAAAAACCAACAAAAATTGAACTTTAGCCATCTAAACTAAAAGAGACTTGCAGAATTATAGCACTATAAATCACTTTGTTTAGCTATGATTGGTGAACTTTAGCCATCTAAACTAAAAGAGACTTGCAGAATTATGTTTATAATTGGACCAAACTCCATGCAGGACAAATACATGAACAAATTTTTACATTGAAACTTCTCATAACCAGGCTTTCTACATGGTGGTTTGGTTCACCCATCAAACCACTATATAAAACATTGAGAAATTAAAAAGATATCCTTTGAATTTATTCCACATATGAAAAAGAAATTCCTATGAAGTTAATTAGATGATTAACCAGGTTCCTTCACATTAGGTAGACAAAGAGAGATTTATGCATATGAGCCCTTGCTCAATAATCACATTTATGAGATTGTCTGCTTGGTTAATGTCAGCAAGGGAGAAAGAGGAGTACCTTCTCATAAAGGCATTGTGCAGGCTCCTATGATGAAGGAGCAGACACTTTATCCATCTCTTCTATATTGACTACACACTAGCTGCATAAAACCTATAAATATAGAAATCAAACAAATATCTCAGTTCAAAGAGCCAGGTTTCAAGTAACTGCACTGATGATTAACAAGAAACAAACTACCTCCACATTATTTATATGCAACCAATTTGGAAGGTGAAATTCAAAGCAACAATTTCAAAGCAACAATTCAATAAAAACATAGTTACTAATTTGAACCCTTAATGAAACTCCTTAAACAAAATTCCATGCATGACATCTAACGACTGAAAATTCAAATAGGAAAACTGTTGAAGAGTTAAGTATGCGTAAGATATCTTTTAAAATTATATTGAATACCTTATCATCAAATTAATAACTTATTTTGTGAAATGCTTCCACTCAACAATATATGATTTTAGTTTTATTAAAGACTAATATGTGTTTGTGATTGACCAAACATTAGTTTAACAAATCAAACCTCAGAAAAATAAATAATGCAAGCATATTAGAGAGGAAGGAGAAACAGCATCGTGTTCCCTGTGCTCGTAATCCAAAAGCCAAAGAAGTTCGTGGGATAAAACGTAATGCAGTTACCGTAACTGGACAGGGAAGCCAAAGAGTTTACAAAAATAAATTATGCTATGAAGATCTCATTAAATGTGAAACATTCTGTTCCTAGCAAGATGAAAACTTCTAAAGATGAAGATATCACCTTACAACAAACAGGCTACAGAAGAACTACTAAACCACTTCTATATATCGTAAAGCTACCAATCAAAAATGATACAACTTCTAACATATTGCATTCACCTTGACCCTTATCCATCTAAAATCCTACCTGGACATTTATAAGGTTGCCCAGAAGGCTATTACATAGTAAAGTCTGAAATATTTCCTAAGCATTAAAACAAGTAAAAAGATAAGTAAAAGTTTTGATAGATCATAGAATCAAACTTCGATAGGATAGATTGTGGATGATTCATGAACTTAAGTAATTATGAACAAACAAACATATAACATTTAACTGAATCTGCGAAATAAGTCTATACTAGAGTCTAGATACTCGATAGTAGCCAAATACCTTATGATACAAAAATTAGCTAATTTCACAACAATTGTGTTCCCAAGATATGGAAACAGACAAATTTATCATAAAAATTTGATACTTTGCAGCACAATCACAGCTTATAGCTGTTAATAAAACATACTAAAATCATTAATTAGAACTTATTATAATAAATGAAAGGGGGAAAAGGAGAAATCAAAATAATTTAGAAGTTTGTGTTAAAAAATCTAATAGTGGACAATAAAAGAGGTGTAGTTAAAGAAAATCTTATTAAATCACACACGAAACCGGAATTAACAACACAGCCAAACCATGCCAATAGCCAAACATCAAATCACAAATTCTGGAGCAAAAACTCAACGACCTCAGTGAATCCCTCGCACGCGGCAACATGAAGAGTAGTGCGATAATTAATCAATATCCCTGAAATTGACACTAACACCAGACTCCAACACCTCGTGAAGACCATCCACATCGCCTTCGAACACCGAATACTTCAACCTCACACTCTAGTCAACGGCGCCTCCCTCATTCTGAAGCTCCGTGATATGTATAGAAATAGTTCTAGGTGTTACCAAAACACGAAGAGTCTGAATTTCTTATTAATGAGAGGGAGAAGACAGAGAGTTTACAAGTTTTTTTCCGTAGAAAATTCTAACAACAACTTCCTATTTATAATATTCTAACCATTGAAACTAACTTCTAAATTGACAACTTAACAAACCCTCAATTAACTACAGCTGTTAGCATCTTATTTAATTATTTCATAACAATGCCCTTCCCTTGGAAGCATCCTTGTCCTCAAGAATGAAATAATGGAAACTTCTTCTTCAAATCATAATAAAATTCCCACGTGGCATCTTCTGGAAGTTGATGCTTCCATTTAACAAGTGCCTTAGTCACTGCAATACCATTTCTTTTCACTGTCATCCGATCTAGTATTGTTTCAAGCTCCCTTTCAGCAAAAGCATCGTCAGTTTCATATGGAAGTTTCATATGGAACTTTACTGGAAGTTATTGCATTTCCCACATGTTTTTTAAGCTGTGAAATATGGAAAAAATTATGCGCTTTAGACTGAACTGGAAGTTCAATTTTGTAAGCTACTACACCCACACGATCCAAAATTTTGTAGGGACCAAAGAACTTAGGACTGAGTTTCATATTTCCCCTTTGGGCCACTGAAATCTGTCTATAAGGATGTAGTTTGACATAAACTAGATCTCCTATCTGATATTGTCTGTCCTTCCCAAGCTTGTCTGATGCTTGTTTCATCCTTCCTTGGGCTCTTCTTAAATGAAACTTAAGTAACTTCAGCATCTCTTCTCTTTTCGCCAAGCTTCTGTCTACTAATTCAATCCCGGACTCTCCTGGAAGATATGGAAGATATGCTAGAGCAGGTTGCCCGTATACAATCTCATAAGGAGTGGCATTAATTGTTGTGTGATAAGTGGTATTGTACCACCATTCAACTAAGGGAAGCAACTTACTCCACTGTTGAGGTAAATCAGAACACATGCACCTCAAATAAGTCTCCAAACACCTGTTAACAACCTCTGTTTGACCATCCATTTGTGGATGGTAACTTGAAGACAGCTAGACCTGTACACCCTGGTATGCCATAAATTCTTGCCAAAAACTACTGACAAACACCGGATCTCTATCACTTGTGATAGAATTAGGAAAACCATGTAATTTGAACACGTGATCCATGAAAGATTGTGCCACCTCTCTTGCTGTGTAAGGATGAGATAAGGCCATGAAATGAGCAACCTTACTCAACCTATCCACCACCACAAAAATTACTTGTTTACCCCAAGAATTAGGTAAACCTTCAATAAAATCCATGGTAATGTGTTGCCATATCATATCAGGAATGGGAAGAGGCTGCAAAAGGCCAGGGGATGCTGAAGTATCATATTTACTCCGTTGACAAACCGCACACTGCAATACAAAATGCTTAACATCATTCGTCATACCCTTCCAGTAAACCACTGCCTTTATCCTTTGCATAGTAGCACTTATGCCCGAATGACCTCCCACAGCAGAGGAATGTAACCACTAAAGGATGTCTTTCCTTAGACTAGGCTCGTTACCCACCAATAATTTCCCTTTTCTTCTAAGCTCACCTTACTGCCAGCTGTGATATTTATGAGAGGTAGAATTGTTTTGTACTTCCTAAATCACTTCCTGTACATTTGTATCGTTAACATAGGATTGACGAATCCTAGTTAACAAATCTGAGTGCAATTGATGTGTAAACATAGCTTGACACTCAACATGATCAATTCTGGACAATGCATCTGCGACTATGTTATCTCTCCCCTGCTTATACTCAATGGAGAAATCGAACTTCATCAATTTGACTAACCACTTCTACTGAAAAACTATTGATAACCTCTGATCCAACAAATATTTCAAACTATAATGATCAGTTCTTACAACAAAATGCATGTTCAGTAAGTAGTGTCTCCATCTCTGAACTATGAACACTACTGCTAGAAGCTCCTTCTCATATGTTGATAATGATTGTTGTTGTTGATTCAACATTCTGCTAATGAAGGCTATAGGATGGTGTTCCTGCATCAAAATTGCTCCAATGCCAAAACCAGAAGCATCGACTTCTACTATGAAGACTTTAGAGAAGTCAGGTAATGCTAGAATTGGAGCATTACTTAATAATTCCTTCAGCTGTTGGAAGGACTTTGTAGCCTCTTGATTCCACAAAAAATTGTCTTTCTTAAGAAAATCAGTAAGAGGTTTAGCAATTAAGCCAAATCCCTTCACAAACCTCCTATAATACCCGGCCAATCCCAGGAACCCTCTAAGTTGTTTGATTGTTTGCGGCAAGGGCCAATTCTTCATAGCTTCCACCTTCCTTGGATCTGTAGACACCCCTTTCACCGAAATTAAGTGACCCAAGTATTCTACCTTACTGACAGCAAAGAAACATTTAGATTTCCTGGCAAACAAGGAGTTACATCTGAGGGTTTGCAGTACTTGTCGGAGATGGTTCACATGGCCTTCTAGGTTGACATTATAGATGAGTATATCATCAAAGAAGACCAAAAGGAATTTCCTTAAAAATGGTTGAAACAACGAATTCATCAGCCCTTGAAATGTAGCAGGTGCATTTGTGAGGCCAAAAGGCATCACCACATATTCATAATGACCTCCATGGGTTCGAATGTTGTCTTATGCACATCACCTGGGTTCATTCTCACCTGGTTGTATCCAGCTCGTAAATCTATTTTAGAAAAAATAGAGGACCCATGCAATTTGTCTAGAAGATCATCCACTAGAGGAATAGGAAACTTGTTTTTCACAGTATTCTTGTTAAGGTCTCTATAGTCCACACATAACCTCCAAGACCCATCTTTTTTTCCCACCAGCACCACAGGGCTAGCATAAGGGCTATTGATGTTCTAAATTACTCCAGTTTTAAGATAATCTTGCACCAATTTATCAATAACATCCTTCTATGATTTAGCATATCTGTATGGTCTTTTGTTTACTGGATTTGCACCTTGAATTAGTGGAATCTTATGATCATGATCAGATCTAAAGGGTGGTAACTGATCAGGCTCTTGGAAAATGTCATCAAATTCTTCTAGAAGCTGATTTATTTCTTGAGGTACTATAGGTTGATCTGCCTGAGTAGTTAGAGATTGAAGTAACCCCTCTTCCTCTCCACACAACTGTAACATAGAGAAGTGAACTCCACCATCCAAAGCCTTAATTAATTGTTGTCTCTTAGCTGTCTTAATGTTCTGTACTGAAGCTCCCCTCAACACATGTTTCTTTCCTTGCACCCTAAATTCCATTGTCAATTTATCAAAATTCCATGTGATATCACCCAATGTCACCAGCCACTCCACCCCTAACACAAGATCACAACACCCTAGTGGAATAAAAAATACATCAGAAGCGAAGGTTGTTTGTTGTGTTGTCCAGGTGAAGTTTTAACTACTGAAGAAATGGTGAGTTTGTTGCCATCCACTACAGTCACCATCAATGGCTCCCTTTCCTCTATTCTGCATCCGAATTTCTTAGCTGTTTGGATATCCAAGAAATTGTGCGTGCTTCCACTGTCTTTCAAAATGTGCAAGGGACGCTTTTGTAAATACCCAGTAACTCTCATGGTTTTGAAATTAGCCACACCTGTTAATGCATTAACTAAAATCTGAGGTTCCTTGCCGCTCTCAACCTGACCATCTGTCTCCTCCAATATTGTTTGATCCTCGTCCTCCACAACCTCCATAACATGAATATGCAATTTCTTATGTGACAAGCTATGTTCTGGAGAGTAAGGTTCATCACAAAAGTAACAAAGACCCTTGGCTCTTCTTTCATTCATATAGGCAGGGGTCAAAGTCTTAACTGATCGAATGCCAGATTTATTTGCCTCAGAATTCTTCTCGAAAGGAATAACAGCTTTCTTTGTCAATCTTGGTTTTGATCCCAGTAGCCCTTTCTAATTGTTCAATGTTAACGACGACACCACGGAACTTGGTGCATTAGCAGCTTCATACATCCGAGCTAACGTGAATGCCTTTTGTACCGTAGTGGGTTGGAACATGCGCACCAACATCTGGACATCTTTCTTTAATCCACCTAAAAAACAACTCAAAGTATATTGTTCTGACAAATTCAGTTTATTAATAATGGCATCAAACTCTTCATGATACTCTCCCACCGACTTAGTCTGTCGAAGTTTCATCAACTCTGCCATAGGATCAACACACACATCTCCAAACCTGTCTCTCACCAACCCACTATAAGCATTCCAAGACAGTAAAGAACAATTCGTAGTTTTTGCAAGAGTTTAGGGTTTAGGGTTTAGGGTTTACTGTAAAGCACGTCCTTCTAAGTGAATTATTGCTAATTGTACACGAATTTCATCAGGCGTTCGGTCAATTAAAAAGAAATTATCACACTGATAAATCCATTGGTCCACATTCTCACCATTAAACCGAGGAAAGTCAATTCTTGCTAATCTTGTACCACAAGAATACGCAGAATTACAATGCTCACCGCGGTTAGGGGTTGAATTCAATTCCCCAAGGGCAGATTGTTTCACTATCTCTTGTATCGTATCCTTTAATGACTCACTCTGAGTGCATTGCATTACACCCGCTAATTCTGCCATCCGCGCTTCCAATCTTGCAGAAATGCGTTCTTCCAAATCTTTCATTTTTGTCGCATGACATGTAGAGTCTGCCATGGAAACGTGCTCCAAGAAAGATCGAAAGGCTGATACCAATTGATATGTATAGAAATAGTTCTAGGTGCTACCAGAACACGAAGAGTCTGAATTTCTTATTAATGAGAGGGAGAAGAATATAGAGAGTTTACAAGTTTTTTTTCGTAGAGAATTCTAACAACAACTTCCTATTTATAATATTCTAACCGTTGAAACTAACTTCTAAATTGACAACTTAATAGACCCTCAATTAACTACAGCTGTTAGCATCTTATTTAATTATTTCATAACATTCAGCTTCCTGGTTGCGGCATCCCGGTGCCACCGACCAATTAGGAAGGAAGCTCACAAACCCTTCAAAACACTTAGGTTTACTCTAAGGGCACTGTCTCTATGGATTGGTGTCTTCCATGGCTCCCACTTCGAATTCAAAGTGCAGAGGGGATCCATACACATCTTATTCTATAAAACATTGAAAAATGCAAAAAATGAAAAAGAAAGAAGAGAGTTAGGGTTTGTACCTTGAATTAGGAGAGAAAAGAACACCTCACAAATGGAATCACCTTACTGAGGATGTGACTGAGTGTGAATTGCGATTGAAGGAAAACAAGAAAGAGGGACTGGGAGTGAGTGAGTGAGAATAAGTTTTTGATTTTTGATTTTTATTCTTTTAAAAAATATAAAAAAATGGTTGCCACGTGTGACATGGAAAGCTAGAACAGGTATTTAAAGATTGTGATGGTTTTAAATTGCTGAAAATATCATTCTTTTGTGGCAGTTAAAATAACTGTCAGAAATATAATATTTTGTGGCGGTTTTTTGAAACCCCAGAAAAAAACTCTACTAATTACATAATTTTTTGTAGTGTAAAAGCATGTTTATAGTTATAAACATGAGATGTTTGAGCATGTTCAATGCTGTAAAAAAAAAACAACACAATGTGAAAAAGTATTTTTATGATAATTACTTTAAAAATAATAATTGAAATAAATTTTAATCAAATAACTGTATTAAAATTATACTCAGGGAAATAAAATTAACGATTAAAATTGTTTTGCCAAGCCAAAATTACAAGGGGCTATGACTGAATGATATTAAAACAAAGAGAACAAATACACACTCTCCCCCTACTCAAGGATGTTTCGAGTTTAATAATCCTAGAGTCTTTCGGAGCAAGCTCACCTTGTAATTCCTCCAACTTGCTTTCCAAAATACAGGCTCTCCCCTACTCAATCTCCCTGAATTTTTGGAGTTCTACAAGAGTACATGTAAATTGGTTATCAGCAATAGCACATGCCATATATTTCATTCTTCCATTAAAGACTACTTTACAGAACAATTGGTATTGCCATATTTACATGTTTGATGCAAGAGCATGTTTTGATTGGTAAGCCACCTAACCACACCATATAGACAAAATCCCATTTTAAATCAATAAAATGTAAAAACAGAATGAGAAATGAAGCAAGAGCCTGGTGGTGGCCGACCCCACGTGCGAGTCTGCTGGCGCCTTGCAATATGCCTTCTCCCAAGCAGTGGTTGAGTAGGACGAGCTTATCTTCCTACGCGTCAAGAACCAAGGACGGATCCAGGTTGAGAGTAGTGGGGGTACTTGCCCCCACTACTATTTCACATATACATATTTTTTATTTTAAAAAATAATATTTTAAAAATAAAAATAATATTTTAATAAAATAAATATATATTTAAATTATTATATGAATAAAATATAGATTTGTAGAAGAGATTTATTTATTTGATGTCTGTTAAATTTTTGAACGAAATTAATTTTCTTATGTGATAAAAAATACTCCTTAATAACGAATTAATTTTCTTAAAAGATTTAATTATAATATATATATATATATATTAATACTCACATATATAATGTAATATATTAAAAAAATCATTTTTTAATAAAATAAAATTTGCAGTATGCATGTTTACCTTTTGTGTTTTCTATTTATTGTATATATTGATTAAAAAAATAAAAATAAAAAAAATTGAAATATTTATGTTCCATTTAGAATTAGTATTATAAAATATAAAATAAATTATCATCTAAAAATATGTATTAGATATTAAAAACATGTTTATATCATAAATAAATTAAACTTGATTTTTATAAAATTTAACATATTTATTTTATATTTTTAATAGTGTTGAATTATTATAAAGTAGGTCTTTAGGGTTGTAGTTCTAACCAAAAATTTAAAAAATGTCTATGATAGATAAATAAGTCATACTTAGGATATATATTTTTTTAAAAAATTAAGTTCAAACCTATGAAGTTATAATAAAATTTAGTCTAACCTAATTTATTTTCATATTTACTTGTAATCGTAAATATAAAAAATTATAAAAAATAACTATGATAATATATTTATACCTTTAAAAGTTATATATGTAAAATTTTTAATATTACAAATATATAAATAAGTATTACTCCCACTATCTAAAATTTATGGATCTGTCACTGTCAAGAACCCTACCTCTGTCACCTACGTCGTTGCCTCCCTCAACCTCGGAGCGCCCCCCCTCCCACCGAAAGGGATGGTATCAATTTTCTGGAAGAGATGAAGCACGCTTGCAGAGCCTCCTAGCCAAAGATAAAGGTTCACGCCATGAGGGTGGAGACCGATGGAAGAGATAAGGCCTCCACCGTTCTCTCCGACAGCAAAACCTTGGAGCGTTTGTGGATTTGGAGCACCGCCACCTTTTGGGAGAGTCACTCCGAGACTATTTGTGAACTAGGGTTTTTGTGACTCGAAGGTTAGCACGAGAAGAGTCGCGAGAGTGTTGTGTCCAGAAGGTTTAGTTGCGCGTGTGTTGAGTGCAACAAAACTTTGTCTTCATTTCTGCATCGATCAAATGTGAACCCGATGTAGAATAATTTTGTGATTCCATTTCTACATCAGTCAATAACAAAATCGATGTAAAATTTTTCATATCTACATCGTTTCTTCACAAAATTGATATAAATATGTTTACATCTTCTATTTATTTACAAAAATGTCGCCGCGTTTATTTACATCGTTTCTATTGGAATCGATGTAAATAGAATGATGTTAAATAGTATTTTTCTAGTAGTGGTTGGACTGACCAATCTATAAGATCGGAATCGCCAACCTGTTAGGATAGGACTGCCAATCTATGTGGTTGGGTCAGTCAACCTATAAATTCGGATTAGTCAATCTATAAGATGAAAGGGAGTAATCAACTAATCTGTGTGATAAAACAAAATAACTTTAGCCAATATAGAGGCACAACAAAATCATGTAGATAACGGTTATCAAGAGACGATTACCAAAATACAAGGTACTTTACATATATTAGATTGAAACATTCATGAACTAATTAACTTGATCTTTCAAAGTCTTTTTTGCAAATATCCAACCTTTCCCTGGAGAACATCAAAGTGGATGGAGCACCGCTCATATTCAGAGAGCATGTCGACGAAGACCTTGGAAAGAAACAAATTGTTGTCTCCCATTGCCATTAACTTAGAAGAAGTGAAGACTTGAGACAATATTAGACATAAAATTTATACGTGAAGAGATCAGGAAGTTTGATATCCAATCTTATCAAATTAATTTTGATAAGAACAATAGTCTTAACTACCATACATAAAATTTAATGAAGTTAAACTCCTATTAGTGGAAATCTAATTCTGACACGAAAAAGGCATTAACTAACTGAGATGGAAAAAGCTAATTACAAAAAAGGAGAATGATGGCATGGAGTTTCGCAGTATCTAGGTTTTCAATCTTGCCCTTCTAGACAAACAAGCTTGGAGACTAATGTCTGAATCACAATCTGTGTGGCATGGCATAGAGGCGATCGAATTCGAAACAGATTATCAGAGTGGTCAACAGCCTGCAAAAACGTAGCAACATTCAAAGCTCTAATGTTAGATTTACATATTATTTAGTTAGGAGTTCTGATTCTTATGTTAGTCTTCATGAGTTTAACTTTATACCATAATCTAATGTTAGATTTACATATTATTTAGTTAGGAGTTCTGATTCTTATGTTAGTCTTCATGAGTTTAACTTTATACCATAATCTAATGTTAGATTTACATATTATTTAGTTAGGAGTTCTGATTCTTATGTTAGTCTTCATGAGTTTAACTTTATACCATAATCTAATGTTAGATTTACATATTATTTAGTTAGGAGTTCTGATTCTTATGTTAGTCTTCATGAGTTTAACTTTATACCATAATCTAATGTTAGATTTACATATTATTTAGTTAGGAGTTCTTATTCTTATGTTAGTCTTCATGAGTTTAACTTTATACCATAATCTAATGTTAGATTTACATATTATTTAGTTAGGAGTTCTTATTCTTATGTTAGTCTTCATGAGTTTAACTTTATACCATAATCTAATGTTAGATTTACATATTATTTAGTTAGGAGTTCTTATTCTTATGTTAGTCTTCATGAGTTTAACTTTATACCATAATCTAATGTTAGATTTACATATTATTTAGTTAGGAGTTCTTATTCTTATGTTAGTCTTCATGAGTTTAACTTTATACCATAATCTAATGTTAGATTTACATATTATTTAGTTAGGAGTTCTTATTCTTATGTTAGTCTTCATGAGTTTAACTTTATACCATAATCTAATGTTAGATTTACATATTATTTAGTTAGGAGTTCTTATTCTTATGTTAGTCTTCATGAGTTTAACTTTATACCATAATCTAATGTTAGATTTACATATTATTTAGTTAGGAGTTCTTATTCTTATGTTAAAAAAAAAAATGAAAGATTGATGACGCATAGAAAAATATTTAAATGTAGATATATTTTAATAAAAGTTATAATATAATTAATGGAGATAATTGATAAGTACCCAGGGAGTAAATATTTCCTATATATACTTATACAGTTTACTACTATTTTTATTTTAATACTTATTAATAAAAAAATATGTAAATCTGTTTTTTTTTTTTTTGGATGTACAGACGAAAAAGGAAAATAGATAGGAAAAAAAAAATCAAGAATATATAGAAATAATAAATGTGATATGTATGATGGAAGATATAAAAAGGATAAGGAAAAAATTGAACTGAAAATATATATAAGAGATAAAATATTTATAACTTTACCAAAAATTATTAGGCGTGGCAACATAGAACACCTTACCTATTTTGGCCGATCCCAGGCCATCACTGGTCCATAAAAATGAGGTGGGGCACACTAGTCCGCTTGTTGGAAGCATGATAAAAATCTTGGTCTGCTCCACTTAAAAGATGAATTGACGAACTGGTGGATTGGTCCGCCAAAATTAAAAATACATATTTTTATTTTATTATTAATTTAAATTGATAATTGTTTTAATGTCAATTAACAAACTTAATGAAAAGACCCATGTTATAAAGTTGTCCTTCAACTTCAAAACAACAAAAGAAAATTAATAAATTAAAAAATACTTAATTTTTTTTCAATCAAGATTACTAATATAAAATAGGTCTTTTAACAACAACAAAAAATATAATAGTCTTTAAGAATTATAGCACAGGTACTAGTAGTCATTGAATAAGACTATAATACAACATAAAGTATGCACACCATAAATTAAAAATAATTTAAAAATAATATTTAATTAAACAGGTTGGCAGGTCAACCTGCCCCGACCTACCAATTTTTTATGGATGGCGAGTTGTGGCCCATTTTGTTACACATAAGACTTACACTTACTTTAATAGTAAGTTATCTAGACTTATTCTATTTAATAATTCATGTTCTACATCAAATTTTAATGATCTAAGATGAATTAAAACTTTTTAATGCATAAATTAAGTTTGCAAAGTTCTTAAAAGATTTAAAAATTATTTGATATTCTATTTCATTAATTTAAATCAATATATAAAATAACCCCAAGCGTGTGGTTCAGCGGTAGGGGTTGATTCACGCTTAAGCAAGGTCAGGGGTCCGAATCCTGCCTTGTCTATGCAGCCACGTTAAATCTTGGGGTCAGCTATCAATTTGAATTAAAAAAACAAAGTATCAAATAGTTTTCAAATTTTTTAAAACTTTGCAGACTTGATCAATGAATTAAGAACTTTTAATTTAACGATTGGATCATTAAAATTTGATGTAGAACATGAGTTATTGAGTGGAGTAAGTCTACTAAGACTTACTCTTGGAATAACTCTACTTAGACTTATTCTATTCAATAATTCATATTATACATCAAATTTCAATGTTCCAACTGATTAATTACAAGCTCTTAATGAATAAATTAAGTTTGTAAATTTTCAAAAAAATGAAAAATCATATGATACTTTGTTTTATAAATTCAAATGACGGATAACCATAAAAACATTATATATGTTGATTTGAACATATATAAAAAACTATGATTTGGTTTTAAAATTTTTATAGTTTATCTATTCATTAATAATGTTTAATTCAAGAGTTGCATCATTAAAATTCAATGTAGATTATGAGTTATCGAGATGAATAACTTAACCGAGACTTACTTTAGGAATTAGTGAATTTCTCCTATATATACTCCAAGAGTTGTGACACCCTTCTATTCCAAAACATTTAGTGTGATGGACACAATCTTCGCTAATTCCAGGTTACT